TTCAAATCTTTCTGATTAAACAGTGTGCAGAAAGTTATGCCAATTGGCTTACGTAATAATGCTATTAAAAATTATAACAGCATTTACCCAGTTGTTACTGCTTTTCTTATAATCTTTTTTGGCATCGTAGATTATATTATTGCTGACATAATATAAACCTAAGATTTACATAATATTAAGCTGACATCAAGATGCTCTTTCTATATGGATGCAAGAATTTATGGGAAAAACATCTGTTACAAATGCGGGTTGTTTCAATAAAGAAGTTCGCTGTATATTGAGTTTATTATCGACTACGGAGCAAAAGGATGATTTGATGAGTGATTGGCATTGCAGTAAGTGAAAGGGTTAGTGATGGAGAACGTGATTCGCGTTAGTAAGTGATTTGTGTTAGCGAGTGATTCGTGTTGGTGAGTGATTTGCACTGCAATAGTGAGTGATTTGTGTTAGCGAGTGATCTGTGTTGGTAAGTGATTTGTGTTGGTGAGTGATTTGTGTTGGTGAGTGATTTGTGTTAGCGAATGGTTTTTGTGGGGGAGTGATTTGCACTGCAATAGTGAGTGATTTGTGTTAGCGAGTGATCTGTGTTGGTAAGTGATTTGTGTTGGTGAGTGATTTGTGTTGGTGAGTGATTTGTGTTAGCGAATGGTTTTTGTGGGGGAGTGATTTGCACTGCAATAGTGAGTGATTTGTGTTAGCGAGTGATCTGTGTTGGTAAGTGATTTGTGTTGGTGAGTGATTTGTGTTGGTGAGTGATTTGTGTTAGCGAATGGTTTTTGTGGGGGAGTGATTTGCACTGCAATAGTGAGTGATTTGTGTTAGCGAGTGATCTGTGTTGGTAAGTGATTTGTGTTGGTGAGTGATTTGTGTTGGTGAGTGATTTGTGTTAGCGAATGGTTTTTGTGGGGGAGTGATTTGCACTGCAATAGTGAGTGATTTGTGTTAGCGAGTGATCTGTGTTGGTAAGTGATTTGTGTTGGTGAGTGATTTGTGTTGGTGAGTGATTTGTGTTAGCGAATGGTTTTTGTGGGGGAGTGATTTGCACTGCAATAGTGAGTGATTTGTGTTAGCGAGTGATCTGTGTTGGTAAGTGATTTGTGTTGGTGAGTGATTTGTGTTGGTGAGTGATTTGTGTTAGCGAATGGTTTTTGTGGGGGAGTGATTTGCACTGCAATAGTGAGTGATTTGTGTTAGCGAGTGATCTGTGTTGGTAAGTGATTTGTGTTGGTGAGTGATTTGTGTTGGTGAGTGATTTGTGTTGGTGAGTGATTTGTGTTGGTGAATGATTTGTGTTGGTATGTGATAAACATCGGTAAGTGGTTCATGTTACTGAGAAATTTGTCATACTGAGTGATTCGTGTTAAGAGAATGATTCCTGTAAGTGATTCGCGGTAAGAAAGTGATTCCCGTTAGTGAGTGTATAAGGTTTTTAACAAATTTTACATTTCTAATATTGTATTTGAATTCGATTTTTGAAATTTTCTATTGTAATTAAAGTTTTTAAGTAGATGGACTCTTGTAAACCAGCTCCGGCTGGAGGGCAACCCTCCTTAAATGAATTAAAATTAAATGCAATGAGTGATTTTTGTTAGTGAGTGTTTCCAGACAGTGGGTGATTCGCATTGGTCGGTCATTGGCGTTGGTCAGTGGTCCGGTTACTGAGTGATTCAGTAAATCATTCGTAAGACAACGTTGCTAAAATTGAAAGATCAAGTGGCTGATTGGAATTGGATAGGTGAGTGTGCGAATATGTGAGTGAGTTGGCGAGTAAGTTAGTGAGTGAGCTATATAGTTAGTGAGTAACGGAATAAGCAAATGAGCGACTGAGGGAAAGAATGAGTGAATAAGTTGCTAATTATAAGCAGGGCTGCAATTACCTGGCGGCGAAACAGTGGCAATATTTGGCATCCCTGTTGTTGTCATTCCCATACCCATTGTTGAAACTGGTGCTGCTGGCTGTACATCGCTAATGGTGTTCAGAACTGGTTGTGACGATACTGGCCCGCCAAGCAAATCTGTCAGGTCGTTGCCCAATCCTCCGTCCATAAGCCCAATTGTTGGCGCTGGCGTGACATCTACATTAAAGCAGCGGTAAATAGTAAAATTCGGCATTATACCTCATTTATAATGTACCCCTGGGTCTGAAATTTATTCACGATCTTCTTAAGATCGACAATTCAATAACCTGTTAGTCCTCGAATAGGCCCCCAGGGGCCATATTTTGCAAAAATTTTGGCTTATTCGAGGGGGAGGGGGTATTCGAAGGTGGGATTATATTTAGCAGCAGCCATAAACATCATAAGGGTAAGTGGGTATATGGAGTTTAAAGACACACAATAGATACTAAAGATGTCTTGTGCCAGGGGCCTGGGCAAGCTAAAAATAACAACCCACAGGCGTCGGTTGTAAGATTTTGATTGTGATTGTTGTTCGTCTTTTGTGTTGTTGTTCTCTTTGTCAAAAGACAGAACAATTAATTATGGGACAACAGAAAGCCACTGGATTTTATGGTTTGATGACAACAAAATAGGAGTACTTTTGATTGCCATCTCGTCATTTCATGTGAGTAACATTCCAAGGATGTTCCAACAATGGAACTATTTTTTAACAGCTTGGCTTTATAATCGCCGTGTGTCTTTAAAATAAGCTTCAAACATGTGAAGACTGAAACACATACAAACCAGGTATCGAAGGCTAGAAATGTTTCCTGAACTTAGGCGGTTGGAAAAAATTAGGAAATACCCTAAATACTATTTAAACAAAAACCTACAGTAGTAAAAATAGTCATACTGTTTCTCTAGAATAAGAAGATTCTCTGAAAAGCACCACCCTTCATCGCCCCTGTCATTGTATCAGTTTTAACCAGGTAACGTAGCAAAGCCTAGTGAAGAATCATTAGTTACTTACCGGGTAGATTGTTTTGTAGAACTGAAGGTCCACCCATATCTAAGTCTCCTAACAAGTCCAGGACACCATCTCCGGTTGATGTTTGGACTGGGGCAGGCTGGGGAGCCTGGCTTGACACTGGCAAGGGGACGTCACCGCTTGATCCAAGAAGATCCAGTAGGGAGTCAGACTAAAGGGAAATTGTGACGATGTGAACGTGCAGCCAATAGAGATCGACTACTACACACGTGAAACTATCATGCAATGAACCAACGCATTTCTTTCAAAGTTCTGTTAAAAGTTTCTAGTAAAAGAAGCAGGCAGTCTTTTGAGATCCAATGTTCAATTATCCTAAAGATAGTTGCATAATTATTCTGACATACTTATCACCTTTAAAATATAGTCAATATAAAATATACGGTATTTGAATTGAATACGACGTTGATTTATAGAATGTTTTCTAAAAAATTTGAGGTCACATATTTGAAGAGACAGCCTCAAGCGATAATTAGAAACTACCAAAAACATTTAATGGTTTATAGAGATTGGTTCACAGGCATTAGTTGATAAACGCGATGTTCTGTCAAAATTATCAACAAAGTATATTTCTGATTTAATCCAATGCACGGATTAAATGATTAAATTAATGGGAGACGATTAAATCAATTGAATTGTCTTTGCAAACACCTCCGGGATTAACGAATAAGAAAACAT